GTGGGTATCGCAGTACACCCCATATTACGATATTTGAATGCGGTTCATAGATTGGACCCGAGCATTGCGTGGGCACTCGCAATGCTGCGTTGTCTCTAAAGGGTAAACAAACAAACACATTACACGAAAGAAACTGTGTGAGGTCGATGCGCCGTAGAATGGGTACTTTGGTTAACACTGGATAAAACGATGTCGCCATTGCAGCACGACTGGTTCCCTGGGGTCTTTAACGTGTACCATGTATTGATGACACAGGACCGCACGCCGATACAACGTGCATCCATATCGAAACACGAAGGGTCGGGGATGTAAAGGGTCAATGCCATTTAGAAATGCATCGTTGGAGTCAGTTGGAGACCAAGAGGACTAACGTACACTTGTTTGCACTGCAACTTGTCAGAAACGCACACTCCTCTTTTGTGGAAGGAACGGGGAGTCTGAAGACATTTTGGTGGGTCCTCTCTGCTGCATCATAGACCATTTCACTGTATAAAGCGGTGTCCTGAAACCGACGAAAGAGTACTTAAAAGGAGCGGTGCAACGATATTCAATTGGAATATTTTTTCACTGTACACGAGCTTACTGGCACTAGTGGGATTCAAGGATACTCGAACGCAACGCCACTGGCCAAGAAACTCCTTTGTTGCGGTGTAATTTCAAGGACAAAAGCCATCATTTTCATTCAATTTCTTTTTTGCAAAATTTGATGACGTAACGTGGGGATTGCAGTACACCACAATGACGATATTTGAATGCGGTTCATAGATTGGACCCGAGCATTGCGTTGGCACTCGATTTGGGCTCGTGATAATTACTAGCTCGAGAAGCATTCGGGTAGTGGTCCGTGTCCAATCGCTGCAACGACGACAATAGCCGAACCATAACAATGTTTGGAACTCAGCTCGTGTCCTGTGCTTTGCCAACCCCAGCGCGTGGCTATGATCAACATTGGCGGCATATAATCGGCTCCAGAACAGGTGGCCGCTTGTTCTGGCTGCGAGGTGAGGGGTGAACGGTGCTCGTTTTTCTTTCATTTTTTTCCGGAACTTCTATTGCTTGCTTTGAAAAACGAACGGGTGTTTCATAGGTCATTAACGTCAGGGATTCGTTTTAAGCGGTATTTGCGCAAAGTACAAAAATGGTTGCATCGCCTCTTTAACACCCGCAAATCGCGGCTTCGACTGCATTCAAGTTGGTCGAAAAGAGATTTCTCTGCCCGTGAAGCATCACTTCCAGCTGAGCGAATATCCGCTCTACTGAGATTAATATACCGATCTCACCGGCCAGTTTGACTACGCCACCGCTGCCGCAGTGCATCGAGGGAGCTTTAGTCTTTCTGCACGTGCGACAACCTCGCTGGAGCTCAGCGCTTGTGGAGCAGGAGGCGACACGAGCCGTCTTGTGCACTGCTGCCTGCCTCCTGCGAACTAAAGTTATGGCGGCGTCACGCATGCGCCGAACGCTTGGTGAGATCGGTCTATTCAATACGACAATAGACCGATCTCACCAAGCGTTCTACGCATGCGTGACGCCGCCATAACTGTAGTTCGGAGGAGGCAGACGCCAGTTCACGAGGCAGCTCATGCCGCCTCGTGCTCTGCTCGCGCAGACCTCCAGCAGGGTTGTCGCGCGTGCAGAAAGACTACAGCTCCCACGATGCATGTCGGCAGCGGTGGCGTACTCAAACTAACTGGTGAGATCGGTCTATTGCAGCCGCACAAGAACAGCACAAATAGAAAAAACAAACACTACAATAGAAATACTGGCTACAACGTGCCGTGCGGGGAAACAAAAGCATGGCTTGGAACCGCATTGGAGCGGCTTGATTTACTGGCTTTCAAATAATTACGGCATGAGCGTTTACTCCTTACTATGATTTATCCCCTGAGCCGTTCAAAACACTCTCAGAGGTATGACATTGCTAGAAGAAAAACAGAGATGCTGCGAATATTTTTTATTACTTAGGCATTCACAGAGATATTCCGCACGTTCAAAACAATCTGTATAAAAGACGGAAACGCAGAGCGGGGAAGTAGTGATCGGGTTAGTGTGCTGTTGTATTTATATTTGAATGTGCCATGTATGTATATGCGCTCAATGTATACGTTCGGCTGATGCTTGTAGTATACGCAATGTGTCCAGATGTGTGTATAATAGAGGTTCCCGAAGATCGCGAAGAGCAATGATGGCGAAAGCAATTAAATTTTTTTTTTTTTTACAAGAATGGGGCGGTACATAGTGCCACCTACCCCTAGCTACTTGCAATTACTCTGCTTGAGCCTGCCAACTGGTGGTGACCTTCTTTCACGCTACGTGATAATTTCTGGGTACCGTGCAAGAGCGGCTTCGAGTTTGTTCTTTTGAGAGCAGCTTTTGGTTTCGCGAATTGGTTTACCATTCCTCCGTGATGTGCGGTTGACGAAGGCATTGTGACACGAGGAATAGCAAAGGTAAGATGTAAAGTGCGCGAAGTAACTGGGTATCTGTTGTCTCTGTTTAACATCGCAGTGCTGACGACGAGAAGACTGAATAACTGCTTTCGAAACGGAAGTCTCTGTACCTGCGGGGGGAATCTGGTTTCGGAAATAAACACAGGTCGCGGAAAGCTCGTGTTACGCTTTTATTTGCTGCTCCTCTCGTCCGGTACAAGAGACGTAGCATCCTCGTTAAGCCCTTGTTGAGCTCGATTTGCTCGATACGGGGCTGCCATAATGAGATGCAGGCGACGGAAAAACTTTGCTCTCCTGCTTTAGGGACGAAAGTTTCTGCGTTTCTAAAGGAACATAGGTTACAAGATCGTTCTCCCCTTAAGGGAGGACTATAGATACCCTTTTCTGTTATGAATGCACCTGTATTGCTTCTCCGCACTGTACCCGTGCACGGTAAGACGCGAGCTGAACGGGGATAACCCGCCGCGATGAACACTTCGAAAAATACGAATATCGCATTTCACCTTGAAGCGACTATCGATTAGTGTATTATTCGAAGCTGCTATTCTAAATTTCGAATATTCGCACAACACTACCAAAATCAACATCACGAAATGCAAGGCAAGTTTTATTTTGACGGAACAGGGAGAGAGAAAGGTACAACTAGATGCACCACTAATTCAGATGACAGATGTTTTCAGTGGTATACTGGACCTATAGACCGACACGCTGTTTACAAACAAGCCCGCGTTTGCCCACACCAGGCGTGGGCACTACGTGTGCGCAGAAACGAAATTCATGTGGAGTGATGCGTCTGCGCATGCGCAGTGCCGTCGACAGCGCCACCGCTGCTGAGTGACGTGAGGGCCGCGCGTTGGTCTATACAAGCAGTCAGAAAAGTTTAAGCAGAAGAAACTAAGGCGAAGGCAATGTTAATTCCCAACCCTACTGTTGTGTCACACCAATGTTGCGGGGTTCTTGTAGCACCTGTGCTGTATACACACCACTGAACGACGTGTTTTTTTTTTACGTGTCATAAATGGCGATTTATTGCGGCGAATAGTGGTGAGAATATAAGCACTGAATACCAGACGCCCAAGGCATTGAGCGGGAGCGCGTGTTAAGTTGCTATATGACTTGAACAAAAGAAAACGTGACTTGAAACAGAGGAAGGAATGCACGTAAAATAAAAACGACAGGGAAAGCTGCGAACTCGGAAATGCACGGAAAGTAAAAAACGTTATCCCCGTCCCCCTCCCCCCCCCCCCTCTTTTTTTTTTTTTTGTCCATTGATCTGATTTAAGGTGAAGAGCTGATGGCTGTTTGCTTTAAAGCGATAGCTTTATGAGCGACAATTTGCAGATATTTTGTCCTCGCACCTTGTCGTCACCGCGCGCGCGAAAAAATAAAAAATAAAAACCTCGTTCTCTTCTCTCTTGCCGTGAGGAGAGGGAAGTCGGGACTCCACGTCCGCCGTGCCGCGCTAAGCGAGCGAAGACAAGCCAAGAGGTCAGCCCTGGCGTCCCACCGAGAATTACGCAACGAAGGGTGAATCATCGTGTCGTGTAATTGAAAAATTTGTTTTCAAACATCACTCGCGTTATGCGAAATCCCACTTTAGCATTATCCAGCTGCGTAATGCTGGGTGGTTTTAGAGGCTGCAACCGAGCTTACCCATTTCACGGATCACTGGTGGCAGTCGTCAGTGGCATCCCCGACGCCAACCACGACGGCTATGAGAATGAACCACGTCGTACCTCCGTCCTCGGGTACGGGACGGAACCATTCCACCCCCATTGCGCGACCGTGCTACAGCTGTAGCTTTCGTTTCTTCCCACACTGTGGACGAAAAGTACAACTTCTTTAAAGCATATTTCATATGACGCACTCAAGATGAAGTGCTGAAAAAGTTGCCTGACGCCTAAGCTGGAAAAGAAGCAACGAAGACGGTGGACATTATTTAAAAATCAAGCTAATTATCCGAACTGTAGTAAAAAAAAAAGTTAAGGACATTTTAAAGAGAAGAATTCACTGTGAGCTCTTACCAAAATAGACAGCAGATGGCATACGTAAACTGGAGCAAGTACAAAAGAAAATCATTCATGTATATATAAAAGCGACGACGTGGAAGACGTCCCCATCAATTCCTTCGTAACGTGGCATCTCTTTAATGAGCGCCCTTACGTCGGCTCGCGATCACAGACCCGTGGCTATGATTGCGAACGCTTCTGTCGCCCCGCCGATTTCCACGGCTCATGATGGAAACTAATTCGGACCCCCGGGACGACATCATTTCCTTCCGAAGTGGACCGTGCGTGCACGAGGCGCACGAGCGGAATGGACGCGATGAAGAGGAGTGATGAAACGCGCCCCGGGCTGGAACTCCGGGTGGAACTCCGTGGGTGCCAACGCGCAAGCGCATCGCGAGGCTGAGTCACATCGACGAGTCCGTCCAACGAGAAGACGGAGCGGCAGAGGCGGTGGCGCCTGCGCGCAAGCCTGCGCTTCAGTCAGTCGACGCGCGCGCGATCTCCCGGGAGTAGGGGAGCGAACCCCCGACCGACCAGTTGAGCGCGAGACACAGGGTCGAACGCCTCGCTTAGCAGATCGGCTCCACGTGCTCTCGCCGTCGTCAGTGCGGCCGCATTTGTCGACTTCGAACTTCGCTAGGAGTTTGCAGAGAGTTCAGAGACGCTCGTGAGGCGGTCCCGATTCTTCAAGATTTTGTGAACTCAAGCCTATCGAACTTCGATTCTTTATCAAGTATTTATTTGTCCTGCGCACTAGTGGGAAAGTTGGTGCCGTGTTTGGCGACCCGTCTGGATTTGGTCAAGTGCGGGCGCCTCGGAAGTGTCGTGGGAGTACCGCTTTTCGCGCGAACTGTCCGTGGGATGCTAGATTACAGACCCTCATTAATGTTTCGTACATTTTGAAACATTCCTGTGCCCAGATTTTTTTTTGTTTTTATTGTTTTGTCTTCGACGTCAACTTGGCGTCGGTGTGTTCATCGGACCCCAGAGGATACGTCGTCGATTCCTAAGAAAGATGAACAGGCTTCGGTTTCAAACGTCGTGAGTGTCTCGTCATAGTTAGAACGCCGACGAGAATTTGTCTTCAACCTTGTCATATTCCAATGAAGCTCCTGAAAATTGGAGTTTCAGTCACTCTTATTTCTGGAGGTGGAACAAACCGTCAATAGTCGTTGTCCGTTTGATTTATCGCAACTATATCCCTGTCTGAATATCCAGGCCCTTAACCCGTTGTCACAGCTTAACTATTTCGTAAATATGTAAAAGCAAAACGCCGTGGCGGTATTGAGCAAACCAAGGACAGTATAAATCTCGTTCGTGCAGTGCATTTGTTTTGTGCTTGTGCTTACGCACCCGCATGTTTCTTAGTCAAGCAACAGAGCCCTGAAAAAGTACAGAATCGGACAACCCGTCACTGGCGACCTCCGCGTAGCGAAAGGAACAGACACGTTAGAATACGTGACTCACCAAATCTTTCTGGCCACTGTCAAGCTTCCAAGGCTTAAAAAAGAATGCTTTTGACGGCAGGTGTTTAATAGTACGTGCGATTCTCAAAGATCTCCATATCCCTAAGGAGCACACAGCGAATCAATGCACTCGATTAAAAGTAAAAAAGGGTCACAGTGTGACATCTTCATGAGCAACTCCAAGCGTCTACAACCCCGAAGTTTACTCGACCAAGCCAGTACTTAGCTGTACCCTACAAGAGACCCTTGCGAGCAAAAAACTCTTCGTCCCGATGACAAATCAGACATTCGAAGACAACGACAGCGCGACGACGTCGCCGCTGCAGGTGGCTCGCGACGTCTACCGCCTGGCAGTGCCCGTCATGCTCGTCGCCTGTCTTACGTCCATGCTGTTCAACCTCCTCATCGTCGAGTCCGTGCGATTTCTACGTCGAAGCCCCAGTCCCACGCTGTGCTTCAGCCTGAGCCTCTCGGCAGCCAACGCGTACGCCTCCCTGGTCGTGGGAGTGGGCCTCGTGGTCAACAGTCTCCTGCCGGCAGTGTACCACGTACAGCCCCCGATATGCGTGTCCCTGTCCCTGGAGGCGTTCCGGCTCACGGGCCTCATCGCGTCCGTGCTACACCTGCTCGCCCTGGCCATCAACCACTACATCGGAATCCTGCGGCCGCTCCACTACGCAGCCACGGTGACGCGGCGCACAGTCTGGCTAGCCACGGCCACTATGTGGATGTTGCCGCTCGCCTTCTTTCTGATCTACTTCTCCAGCGTGCCGGGCCAGGGCTTCCAGTCGCCGGACTGCAGCTACGAGTTCATCCTGTGGAGCACCTTCCGCGTCACTCTATCCTTCCTCTTCTTCCTGCCGCTGGTCCTCATGTGCGCGATCTACGCGCACATCTTCATCCTGGTGCGCCGTCACCAGCAGGGCGCCGGTCTCTCGGCCCAAGTGCCCAATCAGCTGCGCAAGAGCGTCAAGGCCGTCCACACGACGCTGCTCATCCTGGGCACCTACCTCCTCGGATGGGTGCCCGCCGTGCTCTTCTACGTGCTCACCTGCCTCGACTGCGCTCTGCCCATCACGTCGCTGCCGCTGGACGTTCGGCTCACCTTCGGCATCCTCACCAACTCGCTCGTGCTGCTCAAGTCGTTCGCGGACCCGGTCATATACGTCGTGCGCATGCGCGATATCCAGGACGCCTTCAGGCTCATGTGGAAGTCCCGCTGCGGTCTCGTGGAAGCCCCGCGATCCGCCGACCTGCTCCGCCTTGCCCACTCCAGGACCGACACGCAGCGGATCGCCAACGGCTCGCACAAGCAACGGCCCCAGATCAGCTAACATGCGGGCCGTTGGCGTGCCAGTCAGTCCTGCGAGGACTCGCCGTCGCAGCGCTGCTCGTCAGTGAACTGACGTTATTGTGAGATCATCAGACCCAGAGATTGCGACGCAGTGGAACCACGTCGGAGACAAGGTGCTCTCTTTCTTCCTGCAGAACTACCTTTACAAGGTTATTATAGTCCTTTAATCGATCATTGTTGCGATGCCATTTCGTGCGTATTTCCCACAGGCATAAATGCGCGCCGTACTCCCTTTTGTTGCTCATAATTGTACCTGAAAAAAGGGTACGAGCCCAGTGCCCGGTGTGGCATTAAAGTGTGTTACTATTTCAGTTGATACTGTCCGTTTCTTGTGATTAAACAGCGACTAAATTCGACCGACCTTAAATTTGGTATTCCATAATGCCCGTGTCCCACTAGAGCGACAGACAGAGACAAAAGACAGCGACAACCCTCAAACCCATGCAGCATGCTCTTGATGGTACCTTTGGCAGGCGTTTATTCATTCGGTGCTCGTGAAGTAAGCACGAGCGGTTGCAAGCCTGCCAAAGCTACCCTCGCGTGCATGATGCTCGTGTTTGAGCATAGCCTCCTTTATTCTACAAAGCCTCTCAAATCGCGAAAGACTCTGGTTTGAGGCCTGTCGTTGTCTTTTGTTTCTGCATGTCGCTCTAGTGAGACACGGGCATAAAGCATACCGAGACAAGAATGCTTGGGCTGGCATCATGTAGCACGAAGTCAAGTGTTGACTGATTTTTGACGAGTAATTTCACCTAAGAGCTCTTGCACATACTGATATGTTTTAGGTTCTAAGCACGAAATGTTTTCACACTGCATCAATATCTCGAACGAATCTGGCTGTTAATAACAGGAGGTTATCTAGTGCTTATGTTCAATGGATCTATGCCATTTCGTTGCGGAACCTTTCGGTGTAGGTTTCGGTGCGGATTGAATTTTCGGTGCACGGACATTTCGGTGCATGGACCTTCTAGTGTACCGACTTTTCGGTGTAGGACATTTTGATGTACGGACGTTTCGGTGCATATACTTTTCGGAGCGGGGACTTTTTGGTGCATGGATCTTGTGTGGATGGCCATTTCAAAGTTACGATTATCTTTCGGTTATCGCTAAAAGTACAGGTCTCGCGTTCTTAGTACCTCTATTCACATTTTTTTGCCATATTGTGTGGGTTTGAATAAGCATTCCCGCTTAACACATTCAATTCTAATAAAAATTACTTTGCTGGACCTCGCAACAAAATTAAAAATCCAGGCATAATAAAATTATTTCTTTAAAATTCGCCTAAAAATTGTCTGTGCTTCTTTTCGGCGTAAGTACAAACGGAGCCGACGCTGCGAGGTAATAGGGACAACGAAGCAGCGTCATAAGCAGAAAAGTCACTAGGCCTTTTCGGTTGATGACTGGTTCAGCAATGATAGAACACGTACAGAAGCATGACGAACAGCAAAATTCTGCGCTTTTCACGCTGCCTGATTGTTCCCATCAGCTCGTAGCGTTGGCTGAGTCTGGACTTGAAGTAAAATAAGTATAAAAGTTAGTTTTCCTAAAGAGGCACCTGCACATTTGCTGCTCCTCGCGTTTTGCAACATACAAACCGTAAACCTTTGAATGTAACAATGAAGCAGTTATGAAAGTTGTATTTTGATTAACTGAAATGCTAGCAACATGTCGTTCATCAACACAGAAATAATTCGTTCGCGGATTCATTTGAGTTCAATGCAGTATTGTTTTTTTTGTTTTTATAAAACGGGTCTCTTAGCGGAATTCCACAAGATGGCGAAGATTTACGCACGAAGAAACTAACTTCCACCGGAAATGGAGCACAGCTCGCGCCCTCTAGGCGACTGGTGGCCGCCGATAAAATCTGCCAGATCTCGGACCAGTCGGATTTTTTCAGCGGCCACCAGTCGCGCATAGAGTGCGTGAGCTTCGCTCCATTTCAGGTGGAAGTCAGTTTATTGTTACGTGTTGCTCTTATGTCTGTCATATATTATGAACCAGGTAACGTAGGAAAAATACGCCACGAAGGAAGCAGGGAAAACCTATTGTTTGCCAAACATTATTAACCTAGGACCACAAATATTACAGAGAACATATTCTACTCTTTTGTATGTGCGCAATTCTTCAGGGGGGGGTATAGTGACGTTCCTGCATTCCATTTTTAAGCGAATATAAGAGTCTGTATTTTTCAGTCGTTGTTTTCTTGGAGGGATGTTTGACAAACCTAATGAGAATGTTTTTTTTGTGCGTGTGTTTTTGTGTGTGTGTGTTTTTCTTTTTTACGTAAGCACGAAGCAGTAATTTTGCGAGGACGCAATAACCGGAGTACAAGTTCCCTAACGACAAGCTTAAAACCGGCATTACATTGGTAAGTTCGTCAGAAAACGTTCGAACGTGCAAATGCTTGCAATGGCGCGTTTGCAACGTTAGGCGACAACTGTTTCAATACGCACTCTTCTATTTACACCGAAACAGCCGTGCACCAAAAAGTTTGTACAACAAACGGTTTGTGCACTGGAATGTTCACGCGAAAAGTCCATGCACCAAAAAGTCACCACCGAGTCATTCAGCGCCAAAATGTCAGCATTCCTGTAAGGACACTTATCATGACAGCTCTGGCGAAACTGATCTGGGAATATACCGCGAAGAAAACGCTTCAGCCAATCAAGATAACTTGTACCGCGCTGCCAAAGAAGAAAATAAAGATGGTAATCAATGGGGAGCCGTGGTTCCTATGCGGTACGTTCCGCGGCCGGCCCGGTTTTGGCATGGTGGTACGATAGCAGTATCACGATGACGCAGTGCTAAGACGTTCTTTCGCCTCTAATCGGCGCGGAAGGAAATATGACGCCTATGGCACTATAACCGCGCAACGGTGGATGAATTGTGCGCAAAATCAACTGTTGACAGAACGGGGGACAGACCTGCCATTTCCTTTAAAGGAAAGCTGCAAAGGTTCTTGAAGAAAAAAATGAATTACATTGAATTTTAGCGTATTTTTGTCCTGTGAATTCGAATATTATGAGCATTTCTCCCGAACGTGTGGATAGACACGAGAAAAACCGAAAGAACCAAACACTGAGTGTGACGTCCTACCTAAAGGTTTTAACAGCCTTGCGTAAGCCGCTTGTTAGGGAACGCGGGTAGCGTCTTTGAATGCTCGGGTAAGGCATGTGGAAGGCGCGGAAACATTAAGATCTATGTATATTAATAGGTCACAATTTTCTCCTCCCACCGGAGACGACGGGAAGGAGGGTCTTCAGCACTACTTTGAAAGTGCCGTTGTGGCTACTTGGCGCATTCATCTGAAATACAATTTGTTATTCGTTATCCTGAAGGCCAAATGAAGGCGATCTGAACATTTTTTCTCAAATACGAAACCGCTTCCATTTTCCTTAAAAAAAAAATAAAAAAAACACTGGCACACCCCCCCCCCCCCCAATTTTTTTTTTTTTTTTTTTGCCAGGCGATTGTTTATTGTGTCAGAAGACTACCCAATCACGTTTTTGCTAACGCGTCACGTATCTTTTTAATAAAGCCAAGAAACGCCACTGCTCTAAACCAAAACTGAAACTGGACTGGGGAAGAATAAATATAAAGAGGGATAGCGCTGCCGAAAATCACGTGGCCCTGTGCAACTTTTTTTCTTTTTTGTCAATCTACCTATTTGCAACTTTTTAAAACCCACGGAAAATGAGTATCATATATTTTTTATATTTTTATTATTGAGTGGGTACCTTAGATGGCCAATGACTTTGATTATATTTGGTGGTTGTGCCTAAACCATAAAAAATGGCATGTGGCCACGGAGAAAAAATTAAGCGCGACTCAAACGGGCCAGCTCTCCATCGGCGGTTTTCGGGCGGAAAGAAAACGAATTTTGAGCCGCAGATTGTGTTCTGCGTAGTTGGGCTCTCATATGTCAAGGACAAATAAAAACCTTGGCGAGCATAAATACCCTGTCAGTGTCCTTTAAAGCCAGATTTATTGTCCTGGACTCTCCGCTAACAAGCACCCGCGGAGCGTGATGAAATATTTTCCACGAAAAGCCTCCCTCAGTACACTTCATTTCCTCACCCGATATGCAGCCGTCATTTGCTCCCATGGCAGGTCTTCTTAACTGTTTATCCGTACACCAAGAGATGACCACCTTGATTATCGTGATTTGGAAGATATAATAAAAAAAATGTATAAATTTATGCAATCACTCAGAAGTACCCTAGGCACCAAATAAAAATGCACGAACGTATAAAAAAGTACGGTGGCGGCTACATCAGCAGGCCTATATCCAGTTAGCTCCACCGAGCGCCAGCCGAAGGCTTCAATAAAAACAGTCAATTTGAACGCAACTATAATTATAATGCAATTAAATGCAAAGGTGCAAGCGAGCTGGACAAGAATGACGAAAGTAATCCCTGGAGAAGGGTAACAAGAGGGACTCTTGTTCCCTTATTTCCTCTCGTGCATTAGCAGGCAAGTTGAGAAGTCATTAAAATGTCGAATTGAATGGATATATCACACGCACTGTTAAAAAACGAAACTTTTGTGAATCCAGAACCAACTAGCCGCGCGTCTGAAGCCTGTGCATTGTTGTTTTCATGCTAAAAACATTTCTTCGTTGTTTTTTTTTTTTTTTTTGTTTTTTTTTTTTTGTACAGAGACTTGCGTAGAACCTTTTGTGATCAATATAGGGTCATGTAGGGTTTTCGAGGGTAGCTGTAGGAATTTCTGCGAAAAACAGTTGGTAACGCTGGTCAGGCCAGTGTTCGTCGAAGCGAAGTCCGAGTTTGACATCGGACCGATAGAACGGGGGATCGCCGGCACTTCAAAAGGAGCTTCATAAAGCCGTGGAATTGCACGGTACGGATAGGCGCTCGCTGTCTGACGCGGTCGGGCGCGTACTCGCCCCTGTAAGCGTCAACAAAAACAAACTAGGCCCTAGCCTTCCGAAACGACGCCAGGGCCGGAGATTTCTGTGCGCATCCACGCTGCGGCGAGTAGATTTTGGAGCCGGGTGGCAAAATTGACTCGTCGCTGGCGGAAAATTTGAATATGGGTCCCGGACCAATTCAGATTTTCACCCAGTGACGAGCGTATTTCGCCACTCGTCGCTGCAGGCGCGGATCAGCCCGGGAATTCGCAAGTCTAAACGCACCATTAAGCAAGAAGGATGGTCGTATCCGCTATGCATAAATAAACGTATTTTAAATCAAAATTCAAGATTTCCCTAGCGCAGCGAGGGGTTTTCCAGAGTGTACGGACTTTTAGGAAACGAATAAGTGCTCGAGAATCTATTTTTCGCCTATCGAAGCCGCCTGGGTAAGTCCAGTTTGGTTCAGGTGCGCTTCCAGGGAATGAAATAAAAAAAAGTAATGCAATCAACTTCGTAAAAAAAAAAAAAAAGTCGAC